CTTTAACCAGGCTTTTAGCACATCCATTTTGATGTACATCCAAATGGGTCACAGACATCAATGCAGTATTATATGGAGAGAAAAAGGGAATTAAATGCTTTTAACATGAAAAATATGGTGTTGCACGTAGGCCAACCTTTGTTCTTTTTCTCTCAATTTATCTGGGATTTGGGTGGGTTTAATTCTAGGGCCAAATTCGGTACTGGCGTAAGTGAGCACAACTCCATTAGTGCAAATGGTGTCTCTACGTTTATGTCAACACTGAACTTAGATCATTGAATTTTTCCTATGTTTGTGCTTGCATGTTTCCTGCAAGATAATATATACATGTACTGCACATATGCTGCACATATGCACATAAAAATTCACTGGGGAGGACATTTGGCTCCATGCTTTTTGACTTTATGTATAGAAATTGCAATCGACTTATGAATTTTTTGCTTCTCCTGTAGCTAATGTGCCATGCATCTGTAAGGATCAGCCATGCAGAATGCCACGTTGCAAGTAAAATACCTAGTAGCAAAGGCAAGCATGAAAATTGCTTTTCTTTCCTCAGTCTGCAGGACTGCACATGCACACAAATCCGTGTGATTAATTTGGAGAGATTTTTCTCCCCCTCTGTTGTCATCATGAAGTTGAACGCTGCCTTGAACAGAGGGGTACGTAGAAATACTACAGATGCTTATCATTGGAGTGAATTGTAATATTTACTCAGCTGCAGGCCTCTATTTTAGTGTATGCCATGAGGTCTGCTTGCCTTTTGGTGCCTGAAGAATTGCAAGGCCGAAGCAGAGAGGTCTCATTCTCTGCGACGCTTCCTGCAGCATTTGGGGTGTTGGTCTGGTCATCAGGTTTGAGAGAGATGCGCGTGAGATGCGAGGATCACCGTAGCTTAGGTTTCCTCAGTACAGACCAAGACCCAGCTGCATTGGGAGCACAAAGCTGACAGATGATTTCTGCCCCAAACTTTTACCACAAACGTACAGCGAAGGTGCCAGGTAAGGAGCTGTGTGAACTAGTCAGAGGTTATTGGCCATCTGGAGGCCAGGTGTCCTCAACACATGAGGAGCCCACGTTTGTGGGCACCATATACTTCCACCCTGTATTTAAAGGCAGCGGTAATCTTTTCTTTTTTTGTTGTTTCCTTTTTAGATTGAAAGGCCTTTGGTATGTCCTGAGAGTGACTTTTCCAAAGCGCCTTCTGCCCAGCGAAAAGGGCTGTCCTTGTATTCTCAGTATCAAGAGAGCTAAGTAACATTTGTGGTGAGAAGCAGAGCACACTGGCCTATAGGACAGTATGAAATGGGATCGTTAGGAAGAAAAGTAAGGCTCTGCCCACGTATAAAACTTGACCCTTCTCTGTGAACATTATCCCTGTGAATAATTGCAAATATGCATTCAGGCTTCCCGCTGTGTCCCATCCCTTGAGGACACACCCGCTGTATTGCTTTACATGGTGCAGCAATGCACAGCGAGATTTACATATATATCACATAAAAGTGTTTACAAAAAAAATTAGCATGTGATTGAGCTGGGAAGCTGCAGAGGGCCCCAACTGTACGAGTTTCCATGCGCTTCAGCCAGAAGATTTATTTCCAATTTGTTATTCATAAGGGAAGAGCGAGAGATTGGGATGGGGTCCTTTGAAGTGGAAAACAAAGTCTTCTATTCAGCCTTCAGCTTAATAGAATACACATGACACAGGCTTGGCACGGCGGCCCGCTTTCATGTAATGTGCTCCTTGTCATTTTGCTTTCCTAGGCTGTGAATACTAGTGGGAATGGGTATTGCCCTGGAGAAGCCTCGTTATCTCCTGCAGCCTTCTGCAGGAGAAGCACAGTGTCAGCAGGTAGGAGCCATTTGGTGATGGCGGTGCAGAAGCCAGGCTGACCCAATTGGTGCAGTTGCGTTGCTCATGATTCCCAGTTTCTGTTTCATGTTGCGAAAGCACGTGTAGAAAAAGCAGTCTAGTTGCAGGGCTTCTGGGGGCGTTTTGTGGGTGCTTCTGTCCTGTTTGGAGGTCCTGAGCAGAAGCCGTGACCCATGGGCTCCGAGCCTGCCTGTGACAACCATCTTCTGCGTGACCTGAGCTCTCGCTGTTACCTCCCCGAGTGGAAGGCTCTCCTGAGTTTGGGCAGCATCCAGCATGGCAGAGCGTGATCTAGGCGCTGTATCACTGCACATAACCAGCAATTCTGTCCAAAGTTGGTGTTTTCAGGAGATAGGCATATCCATCCTGTATTTCTTCCCAGGAACAAGGCCCTGGTTTTACAGTGATCTACAAGCCTCTAATAGCTTCTGTGCTTTGTCCTGTGTTAGTAGTGTTAAAACCATGCTCGGTGCAGCACAACGGCGAGTGTTTTCAAGGAACTTACAAGCCCAACTTACCACAAAGCCCTGTCAATTAGTGGGTCCGTGGGCTGTGAGAGGAAACATGTGTGACCTTCAGCACGTCAGCTTGGCCCGCAACGCGAGTGCGGTTAGAAAGGAATTGGACCAGAGTCCTGCCGGTCCTCTTGGCCCTGTGACACTTGTTCCTCTTGGCTTTCTCTGGGGTGATGTCCTCACGCCCTGCTTCTCTCTCGCTCTTCTTCATGTTCAGGTTTGGAGCTCTGGGTGAATCACCGACATCAGAGATGGAAAGAAATGCATGAAGTCATCTCATCCTGCCCTTGCCAACGCAGGATTATTCCCCATAATACAGTCTTGAGTGCCTTCTCCAGTCTATTTTTAAATGACTCAAAGGAGAGGGCTTTCCTCTCCTCCCTGGGGAGGCTGGCTCCGCTGTTCAGTAAACCTCACTCTTGGGGAATTTTCTTCCTGTTCTCCAGCCTCAATTCTCCTTTTCCCTAATTTAATTGAACTCTTCCTGGCTCCACCCTTCTAAACAATTTTCTGTATTGCATGACTGTTGCAAATACCTGTTGTCAATTTGCAGGCATAATGGATGGGAATTCATCACCGTTTGCCTTGCTTGGTAAAGGCTCTTTGTGCAGAACTGTACTGGGAAGCCAGGCTTTATCAGAAACTAGATTTCAGAGCTACGTGCCAAGAAATAAGAATGACCTTTTCCTACTTCTTCGGACAATGCCATTAACATAAAACCCCATCGTGACTGAGAATAGGCTGGGCTTCTGGCAAAGCCGTGAATGTCTGTATTAATGTGCTGGTTGTCGTCTTAATCCCCCAGCAGATCTTCCATAGTGGTTTTTTTGCATGACTGAAGTAACTGTTCTGAGTTCTCGGGTTTAGTTGTAGATGTATAGATGTCTGGAGAACGTTTAATGAAAAGATACAGTAATTCTGGTTTTATCAAGTGGCTCCGACAGTTAAATTTCTAAACTCTGACTTTTAATTTGAGGTTTCTTAAGCGCCCAAAGTGTTTGGAAAATGAGTTTTGAAGGTGGGATTTATGCTTTGACAATACCTAGATGCTTTGGACGATAGAGCCTTTTGTCTTAGGGGGCCAGTGTCCTTCATCCAGCAGGACTGAGTTGCAAGAAAACTGTGTGTCCAAAGAGTGTAAGTTATTCCAGAAAAGCATCTTATGGTTTGAAGAATTATGAATTCCTATTTATTTATTTGAGATGAAAATCAGTTTCTGCTGTGGGTGACAGCAGAATAGAAACCCATGCTGAAAACACCAGGAAAAGAATGGCTAGCATTAAAGAGACTGAAATCCCTTTAGTGCTCTCGTACAGCAGAGCTGCAGCTATTTAGCTATGGCAGGATACCAAACAACATTTTGTGGCTGGCCATTGTTGCTTGAACAGTTTGATTTTTAAAACATTCAACTGAAGTATAACCACCAGCCAAGCTGGAAGAAGCGAGTCACAAGGACAGCGTGTTAAATGAAGAGGCAGCAAATGAGGGAAAGGAGTTCTCGTGCCCCAGCAAAAAGTGCCTGTGCTGCAGACCAGGAGCCTGAGAGCGCTACCTCAGCCTAGCACAGCTCTCGGGTTGCTTTTAAGGAAACCTTATAGTATAGAAGGAATAAGACTTTAAGAAGAAAGCGATAGAGCCACAGCTATGAAAGGAGTGGTTTCTCTGCGGTAGGCCTCAGAAGGGCTATGGATCCCATCCCTTTTTGCTCAGCACTGATCCTGACATCACCAACCAGCAACTGCTCCTCCAGAGAACTTCCAATGTCAAGCTTTTCAGGAGAAGGGAGAGGGGTGATGGAGCAGAGTGGAGGAGGAGAGAACAAAGTGACCGTAGCTGGCATGATGAAACCCTCCCAGCACGCGTTGGCCTCTGTTGCTGATACCGATTGGACTCGTCGAACTGTTTGATGTGATTCTTGATAGGTGTTTTTTAGAAGGCACCCTTCTTGTTGGTGTTCTTAAATGTGCATGTTTAAATGATGCTGTGAGTTAATGGGTTGGAGCATGGTGTGTGGGAGCAGCGGAGAGGAGAAGGGTGTGTGGTCCCTAATGCCGCCAAGTGAAAAACAGAGACACACCTGCTTTGGGATATAATGGGAGCGATAAGAGTAATTTCTTAACGATGGGGTTTTTTGGGGAGTGTGAGGGGAAGGGTTGGCTTGAGAAATGTAAGGGGGCAAAAAGGACTTCTGTCTCGCTGTGCTGGGGACTGTTAATTTTAAATGGGAGTGTTTGGTACATCTGGGCTGAGCGGATACTGGTTCTTGCATGCCGCCTCCCCCCGCTCAGTGTTTTGCTTTGCACTGTTTTATCTGCCAAAAAGAAAATAAACTCACAAAATATTTGCAAAGTTGCATGGCCACAGGCTTAAATACATACATATGAAATCCCTGAAAGCAATTTGCTTCAAGCCCTCCTCAGTTCCAGACATCTTTCTCACTCCATCTGCTCGTTCAAGTACACAAGTTCCTTGGGAAAAATCACTTATTACATCACTGAAAAATGCCACAAAAATAGCTTTTCACTTAAGTTCCCATCCTTGGAGTTAACTCACATGGGGATCAGATAGATTCAAACATTTAATAACTTTTTATTTTCCTTTCTCTTTAAACACAGGATCTCTGGTCATGGAAGCAGGGTCACGTGGTGGATTCTTGGCAGTCAGCAGTCTGTGGAGCTTTTGCAGGTGCAAAGGATTATATGTTATACTGGGAAAGACTAAAGAAGAAAGGGAAAAATGTGCAAATCTATTAAGTATAGCAGAACAACATTCCTTTGTAATTCAAGTTTGTTTAGAAGAAAACGGATCTAGTTGTTTGGAAATAGGAAAGTCAGCAAAGGAAAGGGAAGGAAAAAAAAAAAAGACTCAAACAGGGTGTCTGCTTGAAAGACAACCAATTTGTTTTTGACAAATTTCTGTTATTTAAAAACCAGGGGCCTGTCAGTCAGGCTTTGCGATTATTTCAAAGTTGATTTGTAAAATCCTCATCCAGGAGAAACTTTGCTTGGGTGGGGGTTTGTGCAGCTGTCTGCTCTGAGCACTTCCCCAGGGGCTGAAGTGATTGCAGCGAGAGGCCATGATTCACCATTCATGTGACAGCTTTGACAGCCATGTAGATTAACTAGAGTCAGGAGAGCAGAGGCTAGCACTGCACAGCCCCGAGGCAAAAGCCTTCCGCAGCAGAAGGAGGACGAAACATCTGGGCAATCTCCAGACACTAGAACAAGAATAAAGAGTGGCAGAATACAATACTGCACTATTTATTACCAAACAAGCCAGAAGTTAATTGAATTCTTCAGTAGGCTTCTTGCTTGATTTTTTAGCCTACTGTAGTTGTTTCAGAAGAAAAAAAAAAAAGGGAGGAAAAAAAAAATCAATTAATGACTCATCAGTATAGCTGACGAATTTGCGGGAGGGGATACTCAACTGTCTTAATAGAAAAAACAGATTAGTAGTTAAGAGATGGATAGCCAGAGCTTTTTCCCAAGGAGCTAAAATACATTTTGAGATTCCAAACCAGTAACAGAATATGTAGAAAAAAATAAATGCTGATTAAAGAGAAATTATAGCGTTTCTTGAAATAGAGATTATCGTAAGAAAAGCTTGTTCTTTGACTTACAAAATCAGAGCCATTACATCGTATGTAATTTTTTTAAAATAAGCTCTGTTAGGGGAATTGAAGTATTAATAGCAGCAAATTCCAGCAGAGACTGAGGCTTCATTTTGATGGGTGCTGTAACTGCATGACTGAGAGAAGGATGCGTGGCTGTAGCTGCACGCAGCTTAGTACATCGGGCCCGTGTGCTGTGAGGGAATGGTTTAGGTTGAATTGATTCCATTTTGGGGTAGCGGGGATATTTTAGATGATCTCTGGTGGTCTTGTCGGGCTGTATTTTCTATGTTTATGTGATGGGGAAGGGAGTGTGTTTCTGCTAAAAATTCAGTCTACTGCTGGATTTTACGCTGACTTCCTCAAATCGGTGCAAACAAAATCAGAGCGACTGAAGTAGATCGTTCATTTTTGTTTTGAAGCAAAACAAGCTATCGGACTAAAAATGCTTTAAAATGCAATCTGTACGTCTGCAGGTGTGATAGGGGATCATTAATTTAGCTCTGTTGATTTCTTTCCAGTCATATTGATACAAAAACTGTGTTCAGGCATGTTCAGAGAGCTGGAGGGTTATCTGATTTACCCAAGGCCTTGTGGAGTAATTTCCTGAAGTCCGATTTGGTGCCTCCGTTGGAAATCTAGCCCAGTGCCTCCGTTTCCCTCTCTGTATGTCTTGATTCTGACCAGTTGTGCTTGGACTTGCCACTATCTGATGAACATCCAGTACTGTCTGCTCGCTTTATAGCAGAAATACCACAGAAGGAGCTTCCAGAGGCATGGCTGTGCACAAACACTTCACTGCCCTTTGGCAGGTGGTGGGGAGACCTAACCTTTGCTCTGGAGGAGGCACCTGGTCCTGGAGCAGCACAGAGACTTCCAGCTCCATGGCGGTGGTAGATGAGACAGTTCAACCTAGCTGTCTTCATAGGCTCTGTTCCCCAAGCACAAATCTTTGCAGAGCTGGAGTCCTCTTTATGTTGTAATTGGTGATGATAAATACTCTCTGGGTTATCCTTCCAGCCTCACGTCCTCCAGCCTGGTTTTCCTTCTCCGTTCTTTGTTTCCCTATTCTTTCCTTTTCACCAGCAGTATTTGAAACTTCCTTTCTCATGTATCCTTTGAGGATCTGCTTCAAAACTCACGAAGTTCAACTCTTTTTGGACCGGAACCCTCCCCTTCTGTCCCCATTGCCTCCCTTTGCAGACATATAACAGGCAGGCCTTGTATTCATCTAATTCGGTACTGCGTCCATTCTACTGCATTGAAGATATTCAACCTTCTTGCTGAATGGAGGCAGTGGAAAAATAATTTCCTGCTTTCTGAAGAATGGATTCCACGGTTAAAAATTATTAACTACCTACATTTAGCTTCAAATGAGGGAAGAAAAAACAGACCAAACTCTTTATCCCTGTCTTTCCACCCCAAAACAACAACAACAAAAAATCCTCAGCAGTAACCTGTGAATAAAATAAGATAGATGTGGGCATCCGAGTCATGTAAAATCCTCATGTTAGAAACCTTAAAAAGATATTACCCAAAAAACAACCTTTAAGCACAGCAATGCTGTCAAATGCCACCGTGGTAGTAGTGGGGTGGCAAAATCACACAGACATGCTTTTCTCCTGTGTTCTTTGCTTGAATTCAATACTTTCTAAAAATATGTTAGAGGTCCTGAGGGGTTGGGTAATAAGCTGAAATAAAGTGAAAGGAAAGTCCTGTTTGGCTTCCATGGCGCACACACATGTATGTGGGTGTCTGTGTGCATTGGTTAGTTCCTAGCTAAATCATAATTGATTATTTGGCGAAGGCTGAACAAAGAGCAACAATATATTGAATTCCATCCCCAGTGCCTGTGACAGGGCAGCGATTTCAGCTGAAGAGCTGTGAGAGGCCCGACCCGTCCTTGTTGAGCGCATGTGTAAGATATATGTCTGCGATCCGTGGGCTTTTTATAGAAATGTAATAGGCATGAGCATAAATATCAGAGATTTGGAATCCTCTCGGTCTCATCTGTTAATAATTTAATCTCTGGAGGTCTTGTCCAGCTTTATCATCATCTCTGGTGTCTTAACTAGAGGAGATGTTTGGAGCAGTCAGGGAGTGAGAGAAGGTGATATCTGAGCAGGCGGTGGGGAGGAACCCAAGGGTAGATCTACATGATATTTTAAGCCTGAGGTTGCATTTGAACCAAACCTTGCCTCATGTCTGAGCGGTTTGGACACCAGCCCAGATTTGGGCAGGGGCTTTGACAGGCTGGAGGCAGAGGAGGGAAGCGTGTCCCCATGCTGTGGGCAGGCCAGGCGTGATTGTGGTTGCCCTCCATGCTCAAGTCTTCTCTGGGCTTAGGCTGCCTGGCTGGGCTACTGCACCCCAGCCCTGCACAGTACCAAGGCAGGCTGTCCCAGAAGAGCTTTGGGGTGGGTTTTGCCTGTCCTTCATGGCAAGGAAATCCTGACGTCGGGTATTAGCTGTTGGGAAAGCAAAGTACTGCCCTGGAGCGGCGAGGTGGTTTCCAGCTTGTCAGTGAACCTGAGTGTCCATTTAATGGGACTGAAAATTGCCACGGAGAAAGACGCCTTCTTTCTCCCTACTGTAAAAAAAGTGTGGCTTAACATTAATAATTCATGGTCTGTGGTGACAAAGTCACTGAGAATGGAGGTGCAAGTCTAGTGAATAATGAAGCACTAACGAGAGCTTTTTGCACATTAACAGGGAAGACTTCCCATCACTTTTGTTTTGATCTAATCAGCTCTGACAAGATTACACACTGTGTCTAAAAGCCTCTTTAACTCTATAGCGCTGAATAAATTTTTGAGTAGTTCTCAAGATTTCCCTGCAGTGTCTGCCTGGAGCATGCTTCTAACCCCGAATTGGTTCAGTTCCTGGAGGAGCAGTGCTTTGCCCCTTGGTATTTCTGCTGAAATCCGAAGAGGTTCTTGGGTCGCTTTGCTCTGGCATTGTCAGGTGGTGTTCCCACAGTGATAAAGGACCAGAATAAATTTCCTCTTAAAAAAAAAGAGTAACATAATGTCAATAAAATAGAAGTTCAAATACGAACTGAAGGATTGAAGAGTTCTGAAAAAGCCCATTTGTGAACTTGGAAATCAGCCAGTGTAAGAGAATAATGTGAGGTTTAGTCTTAGACTTGTGTGACTCAGTTTTTCAGCCTGGATTTGGGAGTCAGTCCTGAATCAGTCCTGCGTAACCTTCAGATGTCAGTACAGAAAATAGTAAGGAAGACAGGCAATACTGCAGCTCAGCCTGGATTTTTTTCTTTTCCTAAGGTGGGCTGATTCAAACACGGACATTAGTCAAATACAAGTTCCTATCTCTTGAAACGAACTTGACCTACCGAACTGGGGTGGTGTTACAGAAGAGAGTGCCAGGGGTCTGGCCAGATGACAGAAACACAGAATCAGGAGGAGCCCTTGTGGTGGCCCTGGGCCCTTTAGAAAGGGTGAGGAGAAGTTAAAATGGTACAGAAAAAAAAATAAATACAGGGACCGAAGAAGAACTTGTCTTCCTCCCTTCATAGGATCTTGTTTGAGGAGTGTGTGAAATGTTTTCCTATAGCAGCAGCAGCAGCAGCAAATTCTGCAGGCAGCCACCTTACTGCGAGGACCTAGGGTTATGTGCTGTTCTCAGGTGAAGTATTTCACTCTGTTCTGATTCTTCTCAATTTTTATTTGCA